CCAGTGGCCAGCTGAAGAGGGAGACTAGCATGGCTATGTAGGCCGGGCCGAGGAGTTGGAGGAGGTTTGCGGTGAAGTGTTGGTGGTGGGGGTGGAGGCCGTGCTGGGCTAGGTTGGAAGTGTCGCTGTTGTAGAGGAGGTTGTTGAGGGGAGTTATTATGGGGTCGCGAATGGTGCTGAGGAGGGACGATGTCGGCCGGTAGAAGCTCGTGTCTGTGTAGACTGCGATAAAGGAAAAGAAGAGGCCGAAGAGGAGGAATGCTGCGAGTGAGAGTGGTCTGGTGCGAATGCGGGGTTAGCACATGTGTATAGGTTAGAGCTGGAGGTGAAGTGTATGCAGATTGACGCACTTGCGCTTGAACTGCGGCAGCAATTGTAGGCCCGGGAATAGAAGGAAAGCCGGGAAGGTGATGCGGTTGAAGACGCCCACCACGGCGATGAAGGCGAGAACAGCGTGGGAGAAGAAGGACGAGTGTCGCTGCGACTGAAGTTAGCGCGAATTGTGTGCTTTGAAGCTTTATCCCTCGCACCTTATTCTCGACAATGCGCCGAATCAGAACCAACCCCCAGGCAACCAACAGGGTCTCGAGGCTGTTGGAGAATGTGTGCGTCTGATATGTCCAGGTGACATACGACGAGGCCACCAGAACCACTGTTGCGCGCCGATGACGCGGGGAAGGCACTAGTTCATAGATCGCCCAGTCCTCCAGTACAAAACTTAATAGAAACATCCCACCGCGCAGCGCATAGTAAACCAAGTGGGGTGGGGGACTGCCGGACCCGATCTCAGTATAGAACCATTTCAAAAGGCTCATTGGAAGCTCGTAGGTTGCCCATAGTGGGAATATGCTGCGGATGGGGTGTTCAACAGTGAACTCCCATGGTAGCTTTGAAGGAAATGAGAATATGCGACCTGCATGTAGGCGAGTTTTGGTCAATATTATTTTTCCTCTTCGTATAGGGGAGTCGCGGGATTGCCGGATCGCGCTTTTTTTTTTTGCTTTGGGGAAAATCGCAACAAAGATTTCCACGCGTTTGCGCAGTCGCCGTATGATTGCGATTTGTCAAGCGATCATTGGACAGTTGAACACACCTGCAAAAAGCTCTGGGCCTTGGAAATTCTCATCGGGATGTAAATAGCTTGGCGATAGTGCGAAGTAGACGCGAATCAACAGTAACAATAAATATGTTCGACGCCACATGGTTAGAGAAACCCGGGAACATTATTAGAAATAATTAAAGAATGAAAAAAAAAGGTAAGGAATGAAATGAAAGAAAGGAGTGGAAGGGGGGCTAAGAAGGAAAGTAAACGCGTATTGGACAATGATATCACTGGCCTTCGCGTTAAGCGGAGCGCAATAGATCAGTCGATTACTATAAACATGCTATACACACACTATACTAGATATTACTATATTTTACTAAATTTTACCATATTTTAGTCGAATCTTATTTTCAGTACTCTGTACGTACATATATCTAGGGTTGTACATGTATACATCAAACTCTTTGTTAATATGATTGATCTGTTGATGTCGTATGTTGTACGGAGTATAGATCTCGTATACTACTCCATACCTTAAGATACCAGAGTTGATAGATCGACAATCTGACAAAGAATGAGATAATTCCAACAGAACACATATTTCCCAAAATGATTTAGTCTTCTGTCTACATAGACATCGCCGGAACTCAATGGATATGTCCGCCATTGCTTCTGGCTTAGTCTAGAGCTAAGAGGCTAAAATGCCAGGGCTGCTTGCAGGCAGCATCCTAGGTTCCCCGATTATTTGTCCCCAAGCTAATAGGCCACTAGTACGTTTCTGGTCAGTTTCTTGTTCCAAAGTGTTCTTTGTAGTAAAATAATGAGTCAATCTAAGGTTGCTTTGTTATATTCTAGGCAACGGAAGAAACTAAGACGTGGGGGCTGGCTTGGGAGCCTTGTTGGCCTTATCCATGGATACCGCCTTTGGTAATCCAGAATCTCATAAACCTCATCACCCGCCATCTACTCGGTACTTCCTCATCATTTCCAACGTTCAACACCTTTTTTTCAGACATACTACTTCTGAAGACTAGATTTTGATATTACAAATCTACTACATCTTTCCAACCTCGTCAGTAATATCCCTCATCACTGAACCGCCCACGACTGAACCGCCCCGCACTATTCGACAGCGACCAGCAAAGCTTACCTCACTTGAACATTAGATTCTACCATCACCATCACCATGAGTGCTATCACCCTCACCAGCTCCGATGGAGTCGACATTTCTGTTGGTAAGCATGACCTCCAGGGAGGATGCTATCGCGAGTGGCGCTGACTTATTAACAGAGCGCACCACTGCTGAGCGCTCCGTTCTGATCAAGAACATGCTCGAGGATCTGGGCGATTCCGGAGAAGCTATCCCCATCCCTAATGTGAGTGTCTATCCCGAGATACCCAGCATTTAAGTCTAGTCGCTTACACTTCTTTGTCCAGGTTAACGAGGCCGTTCTTAAGAAGGTCATTGAGTGGTGCGAACACCACAAGAACGATCCCCCCAGTGCCAGCGATGACGACGACAACCGTCGCAAGACTACCGACATTGATGAGTGGGATCAGAAGTTTATGCAGGTGGACCAGGAGATGCTCTTTGAGATCATCCTCGTACGATTCGCTTTCAGACTTGCACTTCGACGCACATACTGACTTTTCCTAGGCTGCCAACTACTTGGATATTAAGGCCCTCCTCGACGTCGGCTGCAAGACCGTCGCTAACATGATCAAGGGCAAGTCCCCAGAGGAGATCCGCAAGACCTTCAACATCCAGAATGACTTCACTCCTGAGGAGGAAGACCAGATCCGCCGTGAGAACGAGTGGGCTGAGGAGTAAGTTGCTACAACATGTTCTCTCGATAGAATCTATGCTGACATTTTTACTTTAGTCGTTGAATGATGATTTTGCGTCTGTTGCTTTTTTCTAAAAACAGAAAATGATATCCTCTCGGCTGCTTACGACAATGTGCAGCATAACCCTTGATGTCTAGCAGGGTGATTTTTTGGGGGCGTTACTTTTGCTATTTTTCTTACAAGGTTTGATTGGATTTTTTTTTTAAAAAAAAAAGGAATCGGTAGCCTTGCAATGACATCTGTTACAGAATCCTCTTGGGCCCAGTAGCATTGGATAGCGGGGTCATAAAACCGACTCTTACTCATATTTTTACTATGACGACAACGCCAAGTTGTAAAAGTAATGTAGCATATAAAACGCAGATCCAAGGCTGTACTACAAAGCGTGATACGAACAGTTAACACCATCAGGAACAGACCGCATAGAAACATTACCGATGCAATGTCCCAGTCAAAATCTACGGCCATCAAGAGCATCCCCAAAAGTAGGCAAAAGGACATTCAATTCGATTCAATCAGATTTTGTATCAAAAAAGAAAATCCCCCGCCACGCCAGTCCTACAAGCCCGCCCCCAGCAAGAAGACGATCAGCCCCCAACAGCAACAGAACCTTTTGCAAACATAATCCGGGCCTGCCATCCATATTCGATAAATTAGGCGTGTTGGAAATCCATCATATCCCCACTCGGAACCGTGGAGGAAAAAATGACGACCCATAGGAAGATTAAGAAAAAAAAGATAGACACGACCCAAAACAAGACCCGGATCAAGATTTGATAATTGAATTTTTTGTTTGCAATTGCACTCAAGAGTAGTTCCACAATCCACTAGCGCTCTCAAGTTCATGGTGAAGGCATGTTGTTTGAAATTCGGTTGTGGGCGTCACATCATGAAGAGGGTTTCGAAATCATCAAAAACCCTTGAACCACCCCGCACAGACACACTTCGGTTGCCATATGACATCGCGAGCTGAACTGGGGCTTTTGAGAATGGCCGGACGGAGGGTGCGAATACTGAGGGTCCGCTTAGACCTTCAGGGTCGACTTACGCCAGTGTCGGCGCTTGGCGTTGTATCTGTTGAAAAAGCAATGTATCAGCTATGTGCTTCGACTCGGTTTGTATTAAGCTGTCTCTTTTTTCTTTCCTCCATTGTTGGGTTCGTGCGGTCGGCGGGTGGATGGTTATGTGGATATCCCCTTTCCTCTCTCGCTTTCCCGTATCACTCTTCCCACAAATGGCGGTCGGGTATAAAAGGACGGATATTTGGATCTCGAAATGATGGTGCGATTTACCTGATGGTGTTGCCGGTGCGCAGACGGATCCACTGGGGGATGGGGCGGTTCTGACGCTGAGCTTTGGCAAGCTTTTGCTTGGTGCGGAAGGTCTTGTTGCTCTGTGTGGAAAATGACGGGTTAAAATTTGGTTTCTTGATTTTTCAGAGGTCTGACTGGGAAGGGAGATGGCGACGATGGCGAATGTATTTTTCGAGAATGGCGTGAGCAGGGTGGTAACATACCGGCATCTTGAAGGGTTGATCGCGACGGCGAGCTTGTTGGATGGACGGATGAAGTTATCGACCTTCGAGTGTGGATGGTTTGTGTGCGGCAGGGCTTGGCTTCGCTTCGGTTGGGTCAGGTGATGTGGGACTGGTGCCTGAGGCGATAAGGCATAAATAAATTATATCTCAGACAAGAACCGCAAAAGTGGGTCCACGGGTTGGAACTATGTATGCGCCGCACACTGGCATTATGCAAGTACTACGATACATCTTCGTAGTCCGGTATACGATGTACATTCATCGATATCTCCTTATTCTTTGTTAATATTAGTGCTTATTTCAGGTAGCTATTAGGATTATCATATCTGTCCTCGAGGTACAATACAACCTTGCGTCCTGCAATGTCCTATCTGGTATAACATACTACGGTATAAGCAAGCTAGCTCTCCAGGGCTAGAGGTCTTGATTCGAACCCTCGTAAGCCGTGGATAAAGGCTGGTCAGGCACTAAGAATTATTGTAGGAATTTTCATCATTGATCATTAGTAGAATTACGGGACTAGAACAATATAACAATCGTAACACAAAAACAGATTCATGTAATATCTCATTAAGCCAATGCCGCAGTAATTAACCCATATGTAATTGAATCGAGCTGTCGCTCTTCCTCGGGGAACCGTGGAATCACAGCCAAAACCGCTTCATTGAAGCCAATAAAAAACTGCTGGGCCAACAACGCAGCACTTTCAATGGCAGGGGGATATGCACCAGCATTCGCCCAGTCAATCAACCACACTTCTCCATTGTGGTCTAGAATCAGGTTTCGAGGACTTATGTCCTGATGAGTGAGGACAAATGTGCTGAATTGAAACGGTGAGATATCTTTGGGACATTGGTTTACTTGCTTACAGATCTCAAGCTTGTGATTAAACCAGTTTTGAACTTTAGCACTGTCCTTGAACGGACCTGCACTATAGTCGGTGAAGAATCGACCACGAAATGGACCACCACCGAGGGGACCTGGCTGCGAGATTACGACAGCCTGCATCTCTTTGATCATGTCTGCAATCTGCATAGCGATTTGCCTTTGGTTGTCGTAGGGTAGGTTGGTCCAGCACTTATCGAGAGGTTAGCCTGCGATAAAATCCATCACAATGTATCCCTTGGTGCCAAAATACTGCGTCTCATCTTCGACTTGAAATGCACGATGAACTCGTGGAGCTCGGATGCCGGTTTTGGATGCAACGAAATTGAGGGTCTCCGCTTCACATGGTAGGACACTGCCGCCGCCTTTCATCACCAAATGCCGTGAGAGCCGCACAACTTTTGTGGCGCCAAGTTTGTGTAGCACAGGGGCAGACTCAAGAAAGCCTGCCAGAGCCTCGTCTGTGACGGAGTCAAGGTCCCTTCCGTCTAGCGGGAAGTCTCCCTCCAGATCACGGCTGTGGGGCTGTAGATGAGACTGGCAGTGAATACGTAGTACTTAAGTAAGGAAGCATAACATACATCGGAAACTGGAGATATCATTGGCTCCATTTTCATAGATGGAGGGGGTAGCTTAGCGTGAAAGGTTGTTGAATATTCCTGTCAAGGTGGTGGGGAGATCTAACTTGTTTTAGACATGAATCAGGCAGCACTGCCTTGTGGTAAATGGAGAAAGAATAAGCATTTGAATGAGGCCTCAGGCACGGATGAGCCAATCAACTTGAGCTCACTTGACGCGAAAATCATCCTGGGTAGGTGCCTAACTTGTCGCATCCCTTGAGAATCACTGCGATCAAACTGCCAGGCACGTTTCACGTTTCAACTTCCCAAATGCCTATTAAATCCCAACGTAAAGTGCTTCCACTGCACGGGGTTCGTTTGATTTATGAAGGAGGCACCTTGTTGGCAGTATGAGCTATTGGAAACAATGATATCTGCAAAGCCCATCCGTAGAGCCCCAATACCACTTCAGAGAGCGAAACCATTAAATTCGTTGAAGCAAAGGCACCTCAAGTACCTGTACCTGAAGTAATCTATTCCTGGGTGGATGGAAATCGATCATTTTTAGCGTTGAAAAGAGTCCCAGGTATAACGCTGAGAGATGCTTGGGGGATTGTCCGATATACTCGCGTTTATTGCTTTGGAGCGACACCACAATGTGTATGTATCCGGGCCTTGTATTGAGAGCCTTGCCTTGCTCACTTGGAACGGGATTTATTAGAGCCGTTAAGTGTGTCATAAGAGCAAGAGATTTCTTTCGGGAAGATCTTCATCCGAACCCGGATAGTTCTATCTCTATAACCCTGATTTAGGGCCAGGAGCCAGGAAACGTACTTGTTTCCAATCAAAAGCTATCGATGATCATTGGCTAGGAGTCCACTGGGTTTTACCCACGTTTTTAGATCTCAAAGAAACCCTTCTGTTTTTCCGAGATAGTGAATCGAGTACGGAGTAGATGATAGTATTTGGCGGAACCTTGGAAAGATGTTGAGGATTTTGCTGCCTCTGGTTAATCTGGAGATAGACATACCGAGATAGGTACCTAGGTATGTCTTCCTCATTACATAGTCAAAATACATGTTTATATCTAATTAGCTCCATCAAGTTATACAGTTCCTTTCTCTTCGATTCATCTCATCCCACTTCAACATTTCAGTACACGATCGTGCTATGGAGAAGTTCACTGGTAGGCATCTAATACTGTAACCAACGATACTATATAGTTATCCTGTTTGTACCCAAAAATAGAGGACGTAACACATCAAGAGCACCAATTCGAGACATCCTGGGCGTCGCTATGCACTGCGATAAAAGGCTTGACGGTTTGCATCAAACGAAGGTGAAGGTTCGACATGACCAGGACAAATAGATCTGCCTACCTAGGTAGCGCCCGTGTTTTTGGTTATCTCAGTCAGACATCCAGGAGACATCCATGGATGGATGCAACATTAAACTATTAAATGCCCTTGTACGGAATAGGCAAAAGGACATATTTTGGTTGTAGTCAAAGCGTCGGACATCGGATATGAAACGAGCCGACATGTATAAAAAAAAAAATTATAGTGGGAGATGTAATCCGCACTAAGAATCCGCACCAGGGGTCCAGATTGAGGTGGATCGCATCTATTAGCGGATCAAATTTCGGTCGAAATAATATATACCCCCCGTACTCCATACATACGTACTACCTACGGAGTACCCGTGGATACCTAGGTATAATGCGAGTATGAGTCAGTCGTATTCGTTTTCGGGTTCTGTGTCATGATGATGTGGTAGATATTGATTATGTACTCTGTATGCAAGTACCACCCGTGGGACATGCGCCAATCATGGGACCCTGCATCAAGCATTAGAAGCAAACAGCTCGTGGCTGCCAAGTCGGGTTCCCCAGAAAGGGGGCGTGTTCGAGGGATGCCCTTGAGGAATGTATGTTGTAATAGGAATGTGCATTTCACCTGGATAGCAACATTGAACACATATTAGCATATATTGTATGGAGTACTTTATAGAAGTATACATTATAGAGATAAGAGTGAGATTACTCTGTACAATCTGTATACTCAAATAGGCAGCTCCATTAATTGTCAACTGCATAAAGGCAAGTCGGAGTTCGGACTACCCGACCGGAGAAAAAAAAATAAACGAGGACCCCCCCTCTGGAGGATGATCTAAAACAAGAACACCTGGTAACCTGGTAAAATAAAAAAGGACATTTAGATCTCTCATCCCTTCGTTTGCCCCCTGTCGTTAATCATTTACTCTTAATCTAATTCCTCTCTTAATATATCCATTAATCTTTCTTACCTGTACCTGGCACCTGGACTCATCTCTTCATTTCTCACCTCTTGAGATCATTCCTCATCCCCAGTTCTTCATGGAGTAGAGATCCAAACACCCCCAAAAGTTTCAAACATGCAGCAGCCCGAGGAGGGTGTGACCGCCGTGGAGAAGGTGGTGGAGGACCCTCAGCTCAACGAGAAGCCCATCAACAAGCGCCATTCCGATTCCGCTTCCACCTCCACATCAACAGCAAAGGAACACGAAACCAAAACTCCAGTCGCGACAGATGATGATGATGCTCTCTATGCTCATTTGCCCGAGCATGAAAAGGATATCCTGAAACAACAGCTAGATGCGCCTCTCGTCAGTATCTCTTACTTCGGTCTCTATCGATATGCCTCCCGCATGGACATACTCATCATTGTCGTGAGCGCACTCTGCGCCATCGCCGCCGGTGCTGCCTTGCCCCTCTTCACCATTCTCTTTGGTTCCTTGGCTACTGCTTTCCAAAAGATTATGCTCCGTACCATCCCCTACGACGAATTCTACCACCAGTTGACCACCAACGTTTTGTACTTTATCTACCTCGGCATCGGAGAGTTCGTCACCGTCTACGTCAGCACCGTTGGCTTCATCTACACCGGAGAGCATGTCACCCAGAAGATCCGAGAGCACTACCTCGAAGCCATCCTGCGTCAGAACATCGCCTACTTCGACAAGCTTGGTGCAGGTGAAGTGACTACCCGTATCACAGCCGACACCAACCTGATTCAGGATGGTGTCTCCGAAAAGGTCGGTTTAACCCTGACTGCCGTTGCCACCTTTGTGACTGCCTTCGTGGTGGCATACATCAAGTATGCTCCCTTGGCGGGCATATGTACTTCAACTATGGTCGCGCTGGTCGTGATCATGGGCGGAGGCTCCCAACTGATTATCAAGTACGGCAAGCTTTCGCTGGAAAGCGCCGGTGCCGGTGGAACTGTGGCCGAGGAAGTCATCAGCTCGATCCGCAATGCGACTGCATTCGGTACTCAGGACAAGCTCGCGAAACAGTACGAGTCTCACTTGCTTCGCGCAGAGCGATGGGGCATGCGTCTGCAAATGAGTCTTGCCGTGATGGTCGGTATCATGTTCGGACTGATGTTCATGAACTACGGCCTCGGATTCTGGATGGGCTCCCGGTTCCTGGTGCAAGGGAAGGTTGATGTCGGACACGTTTTGACCATCTTGATGGCTATTCTTATCGGATCTTTCTCCTTGGGCAATGTCAGCCCGAACGCCTCGGCATTCACCAATGCTGTGGCTGCCGCTACTAAGATCTTTGCAACCATCGACCGCGAATCCCCGTTAGACCCTACTTCTGATGAAGGCATTATCCTTGACCACGTCGAGGGTCACATCGAGTTCCGCAATGTGAAACACATCTATCCCTCCCGCCCCGAAGTTACAGTCATGAAGGACGTTTCCCTCGCCATTCCTGCTGGCAAGGCTACCGCCTTGGTCGGCCCTTCAGGGTCTGGTAAGAGTACTGTCGTCGGTCTTGTCGAGCGGTTCTACCTTCCAGTCGGTGGTCAAGTGTTCTTGGACGGTCACGACATTCAGACTCTCAACCTGCGATGGCTACGTCAGCAGATTTCGCTGGTCAGCCAGGAACCTGTTCTGTTCGGCACAACCATCTACCAGAACATTCGCCACGGTCTGATTGGAACACGCTTCGAGCACGAATCCGAGGAAAAGATTAAGGAGCTTATTGAGAATGCCGCCAAGATGGCCAATGCTCACGACTTCGTTACCGCTCTTCCGGAAGGATATGAAACTAACGTCGGCCAGCGTGGATTCTTGCTGTCTGGAGGCCAGAAGCAACGTATTGCCATCGCTCGTGCTATGGTCAGCGACCCCAAGATCTTGCTCTTGGATGAAGCCACTTCTGCCCTCGATACCAAATCCGAGGGTGTCGTCCAGGCAGCGCTTGATCGCGCCGCCGAGGGCCGCACCACCATTGTCATTGCCCATCGTCTGTCCACTATCAAGTCTGCTCACAACATTGTCGTATTCGTCAACGGATCCATTGTTGAGCAGGGTTCTCACGCTCAGCTGACCGAACATGATGGTCCCTACTTCAAGCTCGTCGAGGCCCAGCGCATCAATGAGGAGAAGGATGCAGATGCTTTGGACGTGGATGAGGATGACGACGAGGATAGCATCGAGAACATGTCCAAGTCTCACATCGCACGTGTCAAGTCAATTGCCAGTGGCTCGACTGGTATGAAGGATGAGGCCGAAACATTCCAGGACGCCATGCATCGCCAGGAGTCTCGCAAGTCCGTGTCCAGTGTTATTCTCTCGCAGAAGGTTGGTGAAGGCAGCAAGAAGTACTCGCTTTTGACCCTGATCAAATTTATCGGCTCGTTTAACAAGGAAGAGCGATGGTTCATGGCCATTGGTCTTTGCTTCTCGATTCTCGCTGGTTGCGGTCAACCCACTCAGGCTTTCTTGTATGCCAAGGCCATCAGCTCACTTTCCTTGCCCCAAAGCCAGTGGGCCAAGCTGAGATCGGATGCCAACTTTTGGTCTCTGATGTTCTTCATTGTTGGTATCGTTCAAATCATCACTTTCTCGGTCCACGGTATCGCCTTCGCGTTTAGCTCCGAGAGATTGATCCGCAAGGCTCGCGGCAATGCCTTCCGAGTTATGCTCCGACAGGATATCAACTTCTTCGATCGCGAGGAGAATAGCACCGGTGCTTTGACTTCTTTCCTTTCAACCGAGACCAAGCACTTGGCCGGTATCAGTGGTCAAACTCTCGGAACAATTCTTATGACTTCCACAACTCTCATCGCTTCAATTGTGATTGCGCTTTCTTTCGGATGGAAGCTTGCACTCGTTTGCATGTCCGTCATTCCGATTCTTCTTGGCTGCGGATTCTACCGCTTCTACATGCTTGCCGCGTTCCAGGCACGTTCCAAGGTAGCCTATGAGGGATCAGCTAGCTACGCCTGCGAGGCTACATCTGCTATCCGCACCGTGGCTTCGCTTACCCGTGAAACCGATGTCTGGACATTCTACCACGCTCAACTCGAGCGCCAGGGCCGTACAAGCTTGATCTCGGTATTCAAATCATCGTCCTTGTATGCAGCCTCCCAGGCTTTGGTCTTCTTCTGTGTTGCCCTCGGCTTCTGGTATGGTGGAACCCTGCTCGGTCATCATGAATACGATGTGTTCCGCTTCTTTGTCTGCTTCAGTGAAATTTTGTTCGGTGCCCAATCCGCTGGTACGGTCTTCTCCTTCTCTCCGGACATGGGCAAGGCCAAGAACGCCGCTGCTGAGTTCCTTAAGCTGTTCGAGCGTCGTCCCACCATTGACACCTGGTCTAAAGAGGGCGAGAATTTGGACCACTGCGAAGGAACAATCGAATTTAAGGACGTGCACTTCCGCTACCCCACCCGCCCCGAGCAGCCCGTGCTCCGTGGTTTGAACCTCACTGTCAAGCCTGGACAGTACATTGCCCTGGTCGGACCCAGCGGATGCGGCAAGAGTACCACCATTGCCCTTCTCGAGCGTTTCTACGATGCCCTTTCTGGTGGTGTTTACATTGATGGCAAGAACATCGCCGACCTCAATGTCAATTCTTACCGCGGCCACCTAGCGCTGGTCAGCCAGGAGCCCACTCTCTACCAGGGTACCATCAAGGAGAACATCCTGCTCGGTAGCCCCAATGCCGACCCCACCGAAGAGGACCTGGTCCAGGTCTGCAAGGACGCCAACATCTACGATTTCATCATGTCTCTCCCCGAGGGCTTCAGCACTGTCGTCGGCAGCAAGGGAGGGATGTTGTCCGGTGGGCAGAAGCAGCGTGTCGCTATCGCCCGTGCCCTCTTACGCAACCCCAAGGTCTTGCTTCTGGACGAAGCCACCTCGGCCCTCGACTCTGAGTCTGAGAAGGTCGTCCAGGCTGCTCTGGATGCTGCCGCGCGCGGTCGTACCACCATTGCCGTTGCTCACCGTCTCAGTACCATCCAGAAGGCCGATATCATCTATGTCTTCGACCAAGGAAAGATTGTCGAGAGCGGTACTCACACTGAGCTCTTGCGCAACAAGGGTCGCTACTTCGAGCTGGTTAACCTCCAGTCCCTTGGCCGGGCCGCTTAATTATCTTGATTTACCTTTTTTTATTATTTATGTACTCATACCCCCTTCTTCCTTTCTTGATCCCATGTCATCTCCCTCGCCATTTCCTCCATATCTCACATCTCCTCTTCAAATCTCCCCCGTTCTTGTGATAGATTATTTGTTGTCAGCGGCAAAGACCCTGCAAACCGGGGCACACTGTCTCCCCTCGATAATTTTAAAAAAATTAAAAAAACATCCATTAGGGATGTAGGATTAGATGAATGAATACAATGAATCTCAATTCAACGCCACCTGGTTTCACTCCAAACTCCACCCACTTAGTCAAATGCTTAACCAGTTCAAGTCCCTTCAATCAGTGGAACCCTTGCAGTGTAGGTAGTGTAGCCCTTCAATCCTCCTCCGAAACCCCAAACTCCTTCTCCACCTCAATTTGCCTCACTCCCCTCACATCAGCAATAAGCCCCATCAACCCCTGTCCAACATCTTTGATATCATTGTACTCGTGCAAGAGCTGGGTATACCGCTCGCAGGTGGTATTGGGATTGTCACTGCAAAAAGCACTGGTTAGAGCTGCAAGATGCAATATTTCCATCTGCACGCAATTGGGGGATCTTGGGAGAGTGTTTACATGAGCTGAGTAGTCACCGAAGCCAGGTTGGCTTCGAGCTGCGCATGCTTAGCTTCTAGACTTGCAATTGAAGCGCGAAGGGTGTCCTGCGTTGGGTGTTAGTTCTTGATATGATCGGCACGGGTGGGTGTAGGGTGGGGGATACTAGGGACGTACTATTCGCTGCTGGTCCCTATAGGACTTGGTTTCTTTGGTTGGATCCATTTAGATTAGTTTCAATTTGATGTATATGCGTATGGGTTGTGATACGTGAGATACAACAGGCGAGAGCATTGTAAGAGGAAGAAGTTATCCATGTACTTTGTACCCCAGAAATTATATAGTCCTGACCAATCACAGCCACGCTGAATAATCTAGTCCAAGGCTTCCAAGGTTTCTGCTTGCGCGTCCCTAACCTCTCTGTAACGACTTTTGAATTGTTAATACGTTAATATCTAAATTATGAAATATCTCAATCGCTGAACTACTCGAAAATAAAGTCCTGAAGGTCAAAACGACATTGCTACCTTGACTCCACGCGTTGATCCCGCCTAATCGGATGCCCCGGATTGGGTTACCTGTTATCCGCATCTGTTCTCTTCTCCCTTTCAACTCCCTACTCCAACCACACCATGGCATATCTTCGTCAGTCCTTATGGACTGTCTTTGTATTAGTTGCCGCGGCTCTCGCCCATGGCGGCCATGAGGCTGTTCCTGAGGGCGAGTCTATCTCAAAGGATCCTATCGTACGTGGTACTACAACCATATTCCCCTCGCAAAAAGTTAACAAGTTGATTCCAGGACTCGACATTATGGACTCATATGATTCTCATGGGTTTGGCTTTTGGCATAATCTTCCCTACGGGAATGGTCCTTGGGGTATGTACTACTTCACTTACCCCTCCGTTTCTTACCTACCCTTGCATCCATTTCTAACAAAAGAAATTAGATAACCCGCTCCCGCTGGCACGTCCCAGTCCAAGTCGTCGGCACCGTCATCGCCGTGCTAGCCTACTTCCTCGGCCATGCCCACAAAGGTCGCCAATTTGATAAGAACCTGCACGCCTCCGTCGCAAACTGGCTGATGCTATTGCTCGTCGCGCAAGTCGTCCTCGGAGTGTATCTCAAACTACACCTGGAGAAGGCGGGCCAGGCTCGCATCCGTTGGATCTTCGTGCTGGCTCACGGTATCGTCGGAAAGGTCATGCCCGTCCTCAGCTGGGCGCAGATGCTATTCGGTGGCATTGCCTCGCTCGGCTTCTGTCGCGATGATCATCTCGGTCAGTGTCTGGCCCATTTCATTATGGGCTCCGCATTCATCGGGTACGGTATCTGTTTGACTATCCTCTTGCTTGTTGGTCAGTTTTGGTTGCGCCGTACCGGCCGCAGTCAGGAATTCTTCGATTCGCTCATCATCGCCGCTTGGGGCTGTGTTAATACTTTCACCGAGCACCGGTGGGGTACTCCTTGGGTTCACAATGACCTCCAGCATACCACTATGGGAATTGTATGGTGGTGCGCTGGTCTGCTGGGTATGTGGCTCAGCCGTACCCGCAGCGGTCGTCCTAAGCGTAACCTCATTCCGGCCATCGTCATCTTGATGACCGGATATGCCATGTCTGCTCACCCCCAGCATCTGATGATCAGTACTATGGTCCACACCCTCTTTGGATATACCCTGATGGCAGCGGGTCTGACCCGCATCATCGAGATCTCGTTCGTGCTGAAGGATAAGCCCGCTCTTTCCGAGCCGAACAGCTTCCAATACCTGACTCCCTTCGTATGTCTCCTCTCCGGTCAATGTCAATTTGGTATATCTAGGATAATACTGACTTGCTTTCTCTTTCGCAGTTGCTCTATGCCTCCGGCTTCCTCTTCATGGGCGCCACCGAGGAACAGATGCTTCTATTGGACAACGCAGGCGTCACCCACGTAGCCTACGTCTTGATCCTCTACAGCATCGCTTTCCTCCTCTTCCTCTGTAAGTTGATTTCCCTGATCTCCCCGCTTTTCTTTTTTAGAACACCAACTCATTCTTCTCTTCCAGTCGTCAACATCCTCCTCCACATCTACGCCGTCCATGCCTGGCCCAACTCCGAGTCCACCAACCAGGACGGCCCCACCTATTCGACTCTCAACGGAAACGCGAATGGCCGTGCGCGCTCGAACTCGCAGCAGATTCAAGATGCCGAGGCATTCGAGCTCCATGGCTTGATTTCCGATGATGAGGAAGGTCCTTCTATGGGACCGCGGAAGAACAGTGATGAGGAACTTGGAAAAGACGAAACCCATCACTGAGGCCTTGCATTGAGTTGCTGATCCTCTCTGCAGGTATATCGTGCATTTTGTAACAATGTGTTAGACGGCGTCTTGGTTGGTTTGGGTTCGGTTTGAATAGCATTGCAAGCATTGCAGGCTCTAAATTGCCTTAAGTTCGAATAGCTAATATTATATCTGCACAAAATTGTACATAATTCCCAATTTCATGCAATAAAAGTGTCAATGGTTGCTCGTGTTCTATCGTACATAATAATACCCAGATCCAAGTCGGGGTCATTGGCATCTGTTGAAAAAAAAAAAAAAAGGAGATTCGTTATGATGCTAAAACAGCATATCCCAATTCAATCCCGTACCACCTTTCGCCCTTCTTTTTCTTCCAAATTGAATTTCCCTCACAAATCCCCAGTAACAGGAACCGTAACCGGGTTCCGGACCGGCGGCACAGCAGCCATCTCCACACCAACATCAGGGAAGAAAGGATGAAGCGAATAGATCGGACCAACGCTCTTCTCGCCATCGAACAGCAACATATTCTGCAGTGGCTGTTCTCTCGCTGAAAGAACATTAATAACATCCTGCGCCAGCGAACCACCCAAAAATGCCGCAACCGGACTCAACTCGCTGCCCAGATTCTGCAGGAACGTCCGCAGGAACACGGAGTCTAGTGTGAGTGGTTCCAGCTTGAGTTCCTGGTGTCGGTCGCGCGATAGCTTTGTGAATAGTTCCAGGTCTTCATGGGTGAAGGTCGGGCGATGGCCGCGCAGTTTTTCGAATTCCCACAGTGCGCGCAAGCAGCTGAGCAGTGGGGTGACTTGCTTGCGACGCCGTGCGAGTCGTGTGTATTCTTCCGGCAGTGGGGAGGTGTTTGCCAGGATCAGCGGTGTGTACACTTCGCGCTTGGTGACTAGCTCGATGATCTTGTTTGGTTCTTTCTTGTTGGCCTTGTTTTCTTCTGTTTTGGTGGTTATGTTGATAATGCTGCGGGTGGGTGTTTCTTGGGTTGCAGGGGCCATGTTGGATTTGTTGCGCTCAATCACGAAGTCGTGGCTGATTAGGTCGGCGAAAACGTAGCCGTAGAAGCCATGTAGACCGGCGGCGTAAAAGGGTCTGTTGGCCAGTCGGCAGGCGGCATTCACGGTGGTGTTGGTTAGGAAGTCAAGCTCTGTGGCGATTGTGATGTCGAATTGTGCGAAGAAGTCGGGTTGTTTGGTTTTGACGTCGGAGGTGTCGATGTTGAGCTTGACTCGAGGGTTCATTTTGTGGATTTTCGGTCCTGCGACTTGCGCGCGCTGGAGTAAGCTGTTAGCGGATGGCGATAGGTATTATGCTCTTGTTGTAGCTCACATTCTTGCCGATCACATCCTGCTCACTTTGTGCTTCGGCAATGAAGAACTGCGCGCCTAGGTCTTCCTCCGTGACGTTCTGGTGGTCGATTATGGTGAGTGAGCCGATGCCCGCTAGGACAAGGTTTTTGGCCACTTCATTCGCTAGAGCTTTCACGGTGATAAGGAGGATATTGGCCGATCGGATCCTAGCTGTCGTTAGAATATGTGGGTGTTTTGGAAGCTGATTTGCTCACTTTTCTTGCGCGTGCACTCCCCATAGCCGGATCTGTCGGTCGTATAGCGCGATTTCATCTAGCAAAGTTAGTGAAAATTGGGTCAAATTCTACTGATTGGCCATACCAGCGCTGATTGACTGTGCGTTATCTTGTTGCTCCGTCATAGTGTCCACGGGTCGATCGAGTGGCTAAGATAAGAGTGCCAGGTGCGAGCTTGGCGACTTAAGCCCCGCAGTTGTGTGTGGGGGGTTTTGATATCGAGGGAGAAGTATTGAATTGGTAAATCCAGGAGATGTGTAATGAAAGTAGGAGTTGCAAAGCTGTGAATGGAAGTTTAGAGTTCCAGAGGTTCCAGAAGGTCAAGCAATCCAGGAAGTTCAGATGGGTTTCAATGTCAGGTGACTCGGGAGCTACGATGTGGGGCCGTGGGGACAAAGGAACCTTGGAAGTATACAAACTTGATGTTGACAAACATCTCTCGTTGATGTACAACCCATTCGTTTAATTTAATATAAGATGTGTTATTAGATGAGCAATGTGGACCAACTAGGAGAAAATGCTCAATATAAAATGAACAAATTAAGTAGTTTGAGTGTATGTGATTTCCAAGGTTTCATAAATTACTAGACGATAGAAGCGATAGAAGCTATAGATCAAGTCAACATGGTAGAGATTTGCCTAACACACGATCCAATTAGCAAATAATATAAAGGTCTATGGTTATATGTTGCACCTTCTTTGAACAAATAGTCTACTACAATACTGTCGGCCATTTCTACAGAACTTCCCTTCCTCATGTTTCCATGTTATTGGGGTTTGAGCGTGCAAGATGTCATCATCTCTGTCAGATGAGATTGGACATTCTTTGTTGCACCCAAAAAGGATATTGATAAGCATTCCAGAGGCCACTTTTGTTAGTTTGGTCCCATATCGTGGAAAAGAATAGGGCCAAAGAGCGGGCTAAGTGACACAATCAGCTATCAGCCTATGTCCGGTAAAGGAGTTTACACGAAAGAACGAAGTGCAGAATGAAAACAGGGAGATCAATGAAATTCGTGAAATCTGTGAAATTCATGAATATACAATGAAGTTGGAACTCCCAACCTCTCAACCTCTCAACCTTCACTCCACTATCGATGATCTAATCCGCCATCACGTGTTATCAACCTTGGGCAACTCACAAGGCAGGAACCTCTCTGTATGACTTCTTCTTTTACTTCTATGTTAAATCTTTTTGGATTCTTTTCTTTCTTTCGGGTTGATTGATACCTTGATGGTATACCTCCCCCCGCCATAACCCCTGACCCAACATAGGTAACTCCCCACCTCTCCGGTATCAACGAGCCTGAATGATGGTATGTCTCTCGTCCTATGCGTCTGACTTAATGTCTTACGCCTCCCTTTAGTCAGGGAACTACGATTACCCTCGTGCTTCTTCTTCCTCTTCGTCCCGCCGCACATCCCGTACTACCAGGCCTGACGAACGCCCAGAGATCCTCCGTCTCCAGCATCTCCGCAATTTCGTATCGGAACGAAATCGCTCCGGTGCCCACAACACCTACAACACCACCCTTGCCTTGGAAACATTAAACCGAGAAGTCGCTGAGCATTCTCTGGACCGATCTCGTGGTCGTACCAACTCTGAGCAAGTCCGGGCCGACGTCGATCGTCAGATCCAACAACTGCACTCCGAGACAGCTGGCACTGCAGAGCGAATTCGGAGCATTTGGCGTGACCAGTTCCGCTCAGAACGAGCTCGAACTTCGCTCTCCCCGGAGACAAATTCCCTTCGCCATCGTTTACCCTGGCAAACGCTCAGACCATCAAGCCCGGAAGGATCTTTATCCAGGTCACCGTCCCTCATGCCACCATCCGGCCAGTCGGGCCGTGATGGCCAAGGACGGATGAAGCGTCGGAAGCTGGACACCGACGATAACCGCGAGGAATTTCGGGGCTTCAACTACGGTCAATATGGACAAGTGGTGCCTGGAATGCTGCAAATGGAAATCGCCAGCTGCGACGGAGGAAGCTACGATCCGGATAGTGGGTATTCACGTCCCGAGAACGTTTTGGAAAATAATACAAGTGTCTACTCTACCAAAGAGGCCCGGTGCAACTTGGTCCTCTGTCATCGGGGGAGGCCCCGTTCTGTTTGAAGAAGATCGTTATCAGAGCCCCTCAATGCGGGTTCGATGCTCCGTATGTCCACCAGGCGTGGCTGTACGTTGGACTGATGGCTAATTATGGCTAATCGAACCAGAATACAAGAAGGCATGGTATTCGTCTCCATGACCTCTGATGAACTGCTTGCCCGCACCGCCCAATACCAGATCCAATACTCCAGCGGCAGATACCGCCGCAGTGGCCGCCGCAGCGGCATGCAACCATCCCAGGAATACCTCACTGGGTTCCGACCGCCACTCCAAACCCTCGAACGCACAGTCCTCATGAGCCCACATTCGGCCGCGGTTCCCCATACCGCAGAAGACCCGCAAACGCAGTTCCGTATCACCACCGAGTACGACGAGAATAACGAGGATTCTGGAGATGATGAAGACTGGCGCTCTGCATTGCTCGAGAGAACCCAGGCCGAACAGACGGAAGATCCTTTATCGGATACCGACGAGAGTCCAAGCGATGAGGACGACCCTCCAAGCAGAAGTCAACGTCGCCGACAAGTTGAATCCGAACGACTGAGTGCTCTCAGCCGTGTCAGCGAACAGAGACTGCGCCATACCCCGAGCCTCGTGCATCCAAATCCCCTGGCCGAACCTGATCACCCAACAGCCGAAGTGTTGAAGCCACATGCACGTTTCTTTATCGAGCGAGAGAAGAGCATGGTTACCATCAAATTTGATCCGCCTCCGTATGTATCATCAATATTGGACGTGGATAACCGAATACTGACATCTCAAGATCTGGTCGGTTCATTCTCATTAAGCTGTGGAGCCCGCGAGCCCACGGGAATATTGATATCGAAAGCATCATCGCCCATGGGTATGCAGGCCCGCGGTTCTTCCCAAGCATCGCTGCTCGCTAGCGGTTGAAATAAGCGGGTTTTTGGATCGCAGGGATAGAGGCTTTTCTTTTTTTTGGTTTATAGTTTCTCGGTTTAGAATTTCGTTCTATATACCACTGTAGTATGACGACGTTATGAATGATTATGATATGACTTTCCGGTTTACAGAGGTTTCCATTTTCCCTGTTCTATCATGCAAACAATATAGACCACCCGAACTAATAGTATGTGAGATCAAATGGTCTAATAGCCTTTTTATGAACCTTCTCAACCCTTCTTTCTTGATAGATGAATAGACCATCTCTTCCCAGTCACTTCCAGCGTAACAGGTGGTAGTATGTCGATTTCAATTGGACTACCGATCCACCTCTTTCTCTGGGTCTTCTCTACCATTTTCGATCTAGAAGAATTGCAAGTAGAAAGACGGTGATTATGTGCGGATATTTCATGTACTACAGGAATGCGGGGTCATATGGGAGAGGCAAGCATAGCCCTAATTATTTGAATGTTTACCTACAATGCGCTGTATGCTCTCTTAAATACTATAGGCCCCTCACAATCCTCGATACTCCCTATTTCCAATCTCGGTACCTGCATACGTAGCTTTCCAAAAATAACTACAGCTGTGACCCACTCCCCGTCGACCACGACGTTCACCACTGCGGCGACGAAAGCCACCTCAGCAGCGTCGATCTATAAGCCCCTCAACCCCACTGGCCTAAACAACATCGCCACATGTCTAAATACCGCCCTATAAACGACAACTTGCAATTTGGATAGAGGTTCGGTGGCAGCAATCTGGTAGAGACGACGTTGATTTCAGTTATGGGTATGCCAAGTAGCTCCGTGAGTGTTGAATGTTGACTCTCTCGACCGGGCTAGATTCCTATCGACGAAATTGATCGACGCCAAGGTGGTTAGTGGGGTCGGGTTTCCCCCGGTGTTCCCTCGGCTATGCACATGGATAGCTTGCAGCTTGATATAAGTCAAATTGCACCTGTATATTGAAAAGATAAAGCAAGACGACGACGTTTGCCACCAATCCAAGGAAACCCAGGTAGACACGTAGAATTCCTGCAGGATCTGCTCTGCATGTTTGGGTACGAATTCAAACAGACAACGGCCGTTCACCAGCGCATCAGGGATATCAGCAGTACCAGGGGCGAAATCTGCACATCGTCGTCACAAAATCCAGTTAAACTGCACCATAGCGAGGATACGCGCTGGCTGAATTTCAGGATCACGAAGGATGACCACATGAAGCCAAGCCGGGTTTCTTTTCGTTCTTATACCCCTGCTTGGCGCGGTTAGCTAGAGATATGAAATTCAAAATGCAGATGGGGGACTAAAAGTCGACCTATAATAGATTTTCAGAATCCGCCCTAAGAAGTCCCGAATCGGCACCATGCCTGGTCCGCGGACTTTGGGGTTAATGGAGCCAATCTGAAACATTAGCACTAATGCACGGCTCTAGAAACGGTTATCTCAAAAACGGTTACCTACGTGATAGTCGGGAACTTCTTGAACCCGTTGGTTGCCCTCAACCCTTTTTGAACGCCTGACTGGCGCCTCATCGTTATACGTGTTTACATCCGTGGCAACTTTTATACCGGGGACGAATCCATGCTCAACTGAGCTGCATTTGGCAGCCTCAAAGCATGATTAATGTCCCCTGCATGTCGACTAGTGCGGGGGTGAGCCAATTTATTGCAAGAACTGCGGCATCTTCCAATAGCTTTGGGCTCTAGTTCTGGGCTGATCTGGTAGGACAACGGACACGAACCGGCGTACTTTTGGAGTAACTGGTCCAGCCTCGCTCTCGGACAGTCCCTGTGGACTAGGTAGCCCCGCTGTACTCCGTAGTAGATTGACAAAGTACGAATGAAGTCATTGATGCTGGGAACCAATACCCGGGGGATTGTGGGATATTGGACATAACTGTAGAGTTAAATAAAATAAGGCAAATTCAAGGCGCAACTTCTATATCCAACAACTTTCCGAGGAACCCTCTCCCCCTGATGACGCGGATAAGGACCCGTCAGCCGTTAGCCTGTTTGGGGGGCCATGGGGCAGTTAGTGGAGGAGCTAAACGGCTCAGCGCGGGGCTCATTGCGCATATGCAATAGGTGGGAGAAGATCATGGATGTACGAGACCATGTTAGTTGCAGCACTAGAGTCGGAATAAAAAGTCTATCACATTTGTGATTTGACAGAAAGTGAAAGAAATAGAGTGGATGTAAGGGAGAACCTTGAAGAAGAGAGAGAGAGAGAGAGAAGCTCTTAAAAGAGTCAGGTGTCCCCTTCCCGCTTTATTAATCTTTCCTCACCCGGGCTCTCTTTTCTACTTCGGATTCTCTCATCTTTCTTTCTACTTATTTTCTTCTTCTATAATTTTACCTCCTCTCTATCCCCTTCCTAGCAGACATCCCTGCTACCTGATACCATGCGTATCACCGTCAACGTCATCCGCCCCGAGCAGGCGGATTCGGACATCATCAACCTAGAAGTGGGCGGCGATATGCCAATCTCACTCCTCAAAGACATTATCGAAAGCGATACTACCATTCCACCCGAAGCCCAACAGCTCGTCTACAACAACCAGCTCCTCCAGAATCCTACCCAAACCCTAGACCAAGCCGGCATCACTGAGGGCGACATGCTCGGTGTGCACGTCGCCTTCCGAGCTCCCCCATCCCAAGCCACTCGCCCCGCCGCTTCCAGCTCCGTCGCGCCCAGACAGAACATGCAACCCCGCCCCGGCATGCCGGACCCAGAAACTATTCGTTTACATATCCTGGGTGATCCCCGTGTGCGCGAGGCCGTGCGCAGGCAGAACCCAGAGCTCTCTGAAGCCGCGGATAATGCTCAGCGCTTCCGTGAGGTCCTGCTTAGGCAGCAACAGGGTGAGGCGCAGCGGGAGGCGGAAAAGGAAGCTCGCATTGCGATGCTCAATGCCGATCCTTTCAACCACGATAACCAGAAGGAAATTGAGGAGATTATTCGCCAGAATGCGGTTACGGAAAATCTACACAATGCCATGGAGCATCATCCTGAGTGTATGTTTTTATGTCTTCGAGCTGGCCTGCCAGGCTGCTGGATTGAGAATGACCCAAAAGCTAACCGAATCTCTTTCTCTAGCCTTCGGTCGCGTGACAATGCTCTACATCCCCGTCGAAGTAAACGGCCACCGTCTAAACGCCTTCGTCGACTCCGGCGCTCAGGTGACCATCATGTCGCCCGAGTGTGCAACATCGTGTAACATAATGCGCCTGGTAGACCGTCGCTACGGCGGGATCGCCAAGGGTGTCGGGACCGCCCCGATCCTAGGCCGGGTTCACTCCGCCCAGATCAAGATCGGCGAGATGTTCCTGCCCTGCTCCTTCACCGTCATGGAAGGCAAGCAGATCGATCTCCTCCTCGGTTTGGACATGCTCCGCCGCCACCAGGCCTGCATCGATCTCCGGCGTGGCGCCCTCGTCATTCAGGACCAGGCTGTTCCCTTCCTCGGTGAGGGCGATATCCCCAAGCACTTGACTGAGGAGTTCGAAGCCGAACCTACGGTCAAGGGTGCCGATGGTGCCGAGGTGGGTGCCCGCACCGGCGCGGTCACGCATAAAGCGGAGAACAATCCCAATGCCAATGCCACTCCCAATAATGTCTCCGCCTCCGGGTCACAGCCAAGAATCAATATCCGGCCTGCGCCCACTTCGCGGTGGCCGCAAGACTCCATTGCCAGAATCACCGAGTTGGGATTCTCGCGCGATGAAGCTGTCCGGGCTCTGGATATGGCACATGGAGACTTGGAAGGGGCGATCGGGTTTTTGATTTGATCTATATGGCTTCCGCTTTCTGCATTTACATTCAAGGGCGTTTTTGGTCGGGATGGGGACTTGTATTAGCGAGATTTGATCAAAGCACGTAATGATGTGTACGATTATAACGCTGGCTGCATTATAATAGATTGTTTTGTTTATTTTTTCTACAAGTAACTCCCTTATGTAGGCATTTTTATTCCCGCTTGCTTTTCGGCATTAGTTTGTCGCGTAGACGGAATACCATGTCTAGAGCCATGTATCCGCCTAGAATGGGTTAGTAACCAACTGCGACATTCTATCAGATTGTCTTTGGACTGTACATACCTAACGCCATATAGGGAGCATACAGCATGGTAAGCTGCTGCTTCTCGGCGACCGAGCGGTCAGTCCAACTCCATACAACCACCAGTGATGTCAGAGTGGTGATAAAGGCCTGGATACCAAAGACGAGGAGGTGTACAGGGACGAGGGGGTGGTCTAGATGGATTGGAAATGGTGTTAGTTGGGTGCTTATTGCGTTTTTGTATTTGTTTTTTTTTTTTTTTTTTTGGTTTAGTGTGTAATGTGATTCCCTGATCGGGGTGAAGATGATATGTAGGTATGTGGTCAGATTTCCAGATATTGCATTCGATCTAGATATGTAATGGATAAGATGTGATGTAGGGGGGATGGACTGGACTGGATAGACCAGGATACAAGGGTATACATAGTAACATGTACGATGTATGTACGGAGCACGAGCTTGGGATAAGGGACCGTTTATGACAAAAAAATACCTTTAAGCAAACCCCGAGCAGCCCATATGGAGAGTGGGAGGTGGTACAGCAGCTCCATCCAGATGAAGACGGTGAACCATGTTGGGGGATCTTCGAAGAATTTGTCGCGATAGGTTGTTATGTAGAACTCGCGCAGGTTATGGGAGAGGTTTGTTTGGAGGAAGGTTGGTAGGAGGGGGACTGTGTCGATTACTATTTTGGGTGTTAGTGTGCATGCATATGTGAGGCTATTATCAAGGTATGAAGGTATGAGGGTATGAGGGTATGAAGATAGAGAATCATACGGAGAATGATCGGGACATGGGTGACGAAGAATAGGAGATAAGCCAAGTCCCGTTTACGGGTGCAGATGGACATGTTGAGATGTGCTGGGTCATATGCAATGCGAAGTCAAGGGATAAGGTGTATAGTGTACTCCGTGTTAGTGTATGAGGGTGTTGATGTGTTGATGTGTTGATGTGTTGACGTGTTTTAAGGGAAATGTTTAAGGGGAAGAGAATATCAGGTGACCTAAGGAACAATCTGGAATAGATCAAGTAAACTCTTCATAGTTTGGATAATTGCTTTTTCTTGATATTTAGTGTCATCTTAATATTTAGGGTACTTTAGGGTACATTACCGAGGTAAACTAAATATAAAAACATAGAACATAAAAACATCAAAACATAAAAATATAAAATATACACGTCCAACCACCTCTCTTCCTCCTTGATCTCCCATCTCACCGCTTCGCCATTTTAAGGTGGCCTGACTGGCCTACCTCGGGGAGAAGATGACTCCGAGAGATGGAATCATATCCACACTAGTTGAACATACATTGTAGTCAAGTCAAAGGACCTTGGATGTCAAGCCTAAAATTACATCAATACATCAATACATCCGGGATAAGGTAGTCATGCATGGACCATACAGGGAACTTCCTAGATAGTCTTTGATAGGTCAACGAACTAGGCATATACCGGTAGACCGCAAGATCGGGATGCCCTAATTAGCTCAGGACAGGGTGTTCTTCCTTGCCTTCTTCCTTCTCGCCTTCTTCCTTTTCGGAATTAGTTGAATTGATTTCCGCTTTATATCCCGTTTCTCCATGGGGCTTCCTAAATAGTTCCACTAACGGAGCAGTTAGTTCACTATGCCGAGGAACATGTGGAATGGCCGAATCATTATCTCCGCATGCATAGATCACGGCAGATAATGCAATTGCTATTCGGCCTGCATTATGCCTTATCTTCGAGGTATTCACACATTACCTAGGTATACCGTAGCGGTGTAAGACCATTATGGAAGCTTTAGAAAGGGGGAGGGGGGGAAAAGTGGGCGAACGGTAGTGGAACGGGGATTTGCAGTGGATTGACATTGGATAGTGGATTGACATTGGATAGTGGATTTGACATGGGTTTGATTGTTTTTTGGGGAATTTTAGTTGTTTTTTTACTTATTTTATTTGATTTACCTGTTTTATTTTTTTTCCCATTATCTCTCTGACCGCTGTTCACATCTTTCCACTCGGAGATGAAGGGAAAGAAACTAGTGTTTTAGTTTGACATATAGGAGTATACAAAACTTATATATAAACCTCAATCCCACTTCTCTTTTTCCCCCTTATCCATCTTATCCATCTATACTTTACTCCACCTTATAGATATAATCTATATCTATATCTATACATCTATCTATACAATGCCTTCCTCAGCCCCCCGTCGGCCCAAACAGCCCAAAAAGCAAGAACCCATCAGTTACGACATCAACATCCCCTATGTTGATGTAGACAAGCAATCCAAAATCTCCACAAAATACCCCCAATACCTTCCTTCCTGGGATCCAATCTGGTTCGATCCCCTTCAACCTTTCGAATATGAAGACCCAGCCCTGCGCGTCCGTAATAAATCAAAACCAAACCTGCTGCCCCCATCCGCCAAAGTCTCCCACATCCAGCCAAGCCTAGGAACAATCGTTGAGAACGTCCAGCTCACAGATCTATCTGCCGCGGGAAGAGATGAACTCGCCCTCCTCATCGCAGAGCGCAAGGTCGTCGCTTTCCCAGACCAGGATCTCATCGATGCAGGCCCAGACGCGCAGGAATCGTTCATGCGCCATTTCGGTAAACCGAATTACCAGCCCGTCTCCGGTTCAATGACCGATCATCCCGCTTTCCATATCATTCATCGGGATGGAAATAGAGATGAAATCGCCCGTTTCTTGCAGCAGCGCACCACAACCACCCTCTGGCACCAGGATGTCAGCTATGAAATCCAGCCTCCCGGATATGTCATGCTCGGTCTCCTACAGGGCCCCGAAGTCGGCGGTGATACGGTCTTCGCTGCCACGGATCTAGCCTACAAGCGCCTCTCGCCTGCTGTTACGACTTTCCTCGATGGATTGAAAGTGACGCATTCTTCCGCCAAGATGATTGGCCATGCCCGTATGACGGGTGGCTTGGTTAGGAAGGATCCCGTTGATACGGTTCACCCGCTTATCCGCGTGCACCCCGTTACCGGAGAGAAGTGTATGTTTTTGAATGGGGAGTTTATTACGAGGATTGATGGTCTCAAGGATTCTGAGACTAAGTGGGTGTTGGATTTCCTCATGAATCATCTCGTTACCGGTCATGATTTCCAGGTTCGTGTGCGTTGGCAACCGAGGACCATTGTGATGTTTGATAATCGGTCGACTATTCGTGAGTTTTTCCCCTTTTCCCTTTTTTTTTTTTCTCTCTTTTCAACCTTTCGGGATTTGGAATGGACGATCGACGATCTTTTTTGCTAATAAACTTTTAGACTCTGCCATTGTGGATTACTTGGATGATGATTACGGTGCTAAGGCGCGTCATATCTTCCGCTTGATTGCTCTGGGTGAGAAACCCATTCCTGTGTATGAGGACGAGGATGAGGATGAAGATGAGGAATTCGAATAGACTGCATAATGTGATAGATGGGATCATGTCGGTGTTTTCGGTTTTGATTATAGATTTTTATTTTTATTTTTATTTTGTTTAATTTAATTTTGATTTTTGGAAGATTCAAAAGAGTAGACAAGTGAAAGATTGAAATAGTTCATTTGCAATGTGAAAATCAGGGTTATACTCCCTGTATCTTAGATCCAAACCCCATTTGACTGTGAATTCGTTTTCATTACCACCACCCACGCCTAGAGTTACAAAAGAATCCCAAAAAAAAAAAAAGCACCCGATCCCTTGAAAAAAAAGACCATATGTCAAGTAAATCTCAGGAGTCACCGCCACGATCTGCAAACGCTACATGGCCAGTTCCTCCACATCGCCTCCTCAAGGAAACGCCACATTACCTAAGAATGTCATCGATCCGTGACCGCAAGTCATGGGCAATCTCCAACTGCTCCCCACTAATGACACCGCTCTGCTGCAGGATCAACAGCATCTCAGAAACACGCTCGGCAACGATATCCGAGCCGAAAACCATGCCGCCCAGGCGCACGGTCTCATGGAACCATCCACTCAGCAGGTACAGCAGGTCGTGTGCGATAAACCGCCGGTTTGACCCGTGGAAGGGTGCCTCGTCCGTGTAGTACATCGTCTCCAGCACAGCGTACAGGGATTCATGCGCCACACCAAGATCGATGAACAGATCCACCACCCAGGTCGCCGGGCCGACGTTACGTTGGAACTCCAATGCATACCGCTCCAGCATGGGGACAAGCTCGCGGATGGGGAAAATGGTCTCGGACATCCGCAGGCGACTGCCGAGGCTGCGGACCTTGTCGATCACAGCTTCGTAAGGTTGCGGTGAGCCGCGTTGCACGGTGGCGTCATGGACCCCCTGGATCAGGTGTTGCCAAGTTGACTTGACGTCGGCCGCATTGCGATGGTCGGCTTGATAGAAGATTTGGAGACAGATGTCATGGTAACTGGCGGAGTCGGCGTATTTATTGAACAGCTTTGAATAATGTTAGTATCATTGATTTTTAGTCTGATTTGCGGGGGGGAGGGAAACTTAGCACTTACGGTACTAATATCCATCACGGGTCCATCGACCTCACGCAGGATCTCGGGTTTCCGCTCGGGGAGAATGCGCTCGTCATCCTTGAGTCTTTGAAGAAGGTCATCCTGAATATTGGCCACGTCGATAAGGTTCGAAATCTCTTGCAGCAGTCGCTGCCTTGACTGACGCCCAACGTCCGGTGTGAAAATCGAAGCATTGGCGCGGGCCTGACCAAGGTACTCAATACGACGGCTCAGGGGCAACACGAAAGCACTATTGGCCAGATGGAATTGAACCTGGGCAGTCTCAAAGAATCGTTGAGACTGGGCATAGAAACGCCAGAGTAGATCAGCATGGCCTAGATCATCGTTCGACTTGCGCTGAAGGTAGGTGACCACGAATGGGGACTGAGTCTGCAGCAACCGATCGTTCCAGCCCTGCTCAAGGTACCAGTCGTACAAACTCGTCAGGAACACTTCGTCGGTAGAATCGGAGATCACGCCATAGGCCTCGTTCTGGCGTTTCGCAATGGTGGTCAGCTGGCCATCAATCAGACCGGGGTCAGATGCAGCCAACTTGTCAACCGCAAGCACGACTTTGAAGATGAGATCGTAGCACTGCTTGCGGAAATAGAAGTATTCCTTGCGGGGGTCCTGGGTGGTTGTGAGCGTGAGCTGGCGCTGGGATCCAAAGGGAATAAGGGGGATAAGCACCTGTTCGGGACGCTGATCCATAATCCAGGAATAGGCAAGGTTTGATTTGTCGGATCGAGCAGCAACGTTGAGGGCAAGCTGAATGGCACCTAGAAGAAAAAAGAAAGAAAAAAACCCAATTAGTACGAGATAGCAAAGACCAGGATCACGCAGCATACCTGCAAAGAACTGGTTGACAATGAAATTGTCCACAGCCGAAACCAGATAATCCATGGGTAGGTATTCGGCCACCTGCTGGAAGAGATGCAGACTCTCGTTCAGCAAGTTGCGGCCCAGTTCCGTATTGGCACCGGCCTCAGTCGCACGCTTCAGCATCTCTTGTGCCTTGAAAATGACCACATCCTCTGTACTGCAGAAACTGCCACATCGTCGCCGAAGTGCATCCGCCACGGTCTCGACGTTGGAGCCCTTGGCGATGTTGCGGTTAACAATGCCCTTCACAAGCTCCTTGGCAATGTCATGTCCCTTGCTAGAGCTAAAGAGCTCCTCAAAGGTGAGGCTGAGGAACTTTTCCTTCGATTCGGCTGGCAAAGTCGCCACAATCTCATCAACCCGCTCATCAAATAGAACAAGGATAAATGAGATACCCTCGATCGTGTGTGATACCAACTGAACCAGTGAGTGTAATGCGCGGTGCTCGGCTTGCAGCGCCACTTCTTCTTGCTTGCTGTTTACCCGGGCAAGAGCGTCGGGACCATTGAGACCATCGATAAAGGTCTTGTTCACCTTGAAGAACTCTGCCAGTGAGGAGAGATCATGCTGGACAGTCTGCAGTTTACTGGAACTCACGGACGCGGAAACGGACTGTGCGCCATTAGGTCCATTGCCCACCTTGGCGATCTTTTCTTTCCAGATAGATCGCAACAGACGGGAGATGTATAGTGCAATACCCGTGTGTCGAGGAGAGGGCTGCACTGCATCAAGAGCAGATGTTGAGCCATCCGCAATAGCATTTTCATTCAGATGGGCCCGACCACCTTGAGTGATGAAAGCCTGGCGTGCTGCCGCCAGGATGTCCGGATCGGTAATTCGGGTCAGTCTTTGATCAGGGGAAATTTCCATACCCTGGCCACAAGCCACCGCCAGAGCAGTCGCCAGCATCTCGCTCCGTCCATATGTTCTAAGGAAATTTTGGATCTCGCCGCTCAATCCCTCATGAGGATTGCCGCTGCTGCGGAGCAAAGCCGCGAAGATATCCACGAGACGACGCCGACGAATGATATGGACTCCACCATTAGTCAAGATCGCAATCTCAGCAGCCGGGTGGTCGAATTGAACGGCCAGCTCGTTGGTCACCGGTGACGGTGCCGAAACCAGACCAATATCCTCAGCCTTGCCTCCCAGGTCCAGGATGATCGCCGACTCAGCGGCTTTGCCACTGACCGAGCTTTCCTGGTACTGAGCGACCCGACCAGAGTCAGGGGTTGAGATGAAAAGGGTATCAATCTTTTGCTGTGGATCCTTGGTAGTAAAACAGAAGAAATAACCCGGGGAATATCGCTCGGCAAGGCGAGTGGGTGAAAGTGTGTTAATCTGACCAGCAGAAGGGGAAACCGCACCAAGAGGTGAAACAAGTGAGATGGGAGATGCCACCCCGCTCACGCCAGGGGAAATATCGACGGGCGGTGTCTTGACATGCAGTGCTTGCATGCTCGTGGGAGGGCTGGTGTAGGTCGATGCAGGCGCCCAACTGTTTGAACCAGTAGCGCTAAGATAAATCCGATAGCCTGTCGCCGTCGTTGCAACTAGATGATAACGCGAGGCTTCTGTGGCTGGCACTGGACTGATCGACACAATCTTGACTCTAGGGTTGAGGGTTTCGTTTGAGGTGATGATGTGCCCAATATTAGAGTAGATGTCCAGAGCGCGTTTGGTGATTGCAAGTGTCAAAGTGCCTTCAGGTCCCATGTGGAATACGCGGATTGTAGACGCGGAGGAGAGTGTGTAGAGCAAGTTCCGGCTGTCGTCAAGTGCCATCTGCACTACATGCTCGGCAGCACTCTGTGCAAGGTTTGTCAGGCTCATCGAGGGCCTGAAAGCCGATAGACGCGAGCTGGTATGGTTGACTCTGCCACAGCGGCCCTGGAACCACCTTTCCTCCTGTTGGTAAGTGACCTCGTGCACATCGGTGTCGGACGATCCTCCAAAGAAAATGCGTCCAGTGGATGCCGATGCTGCGAAAACATTTATATCCAAGCCACGGACTGCTACCGACATCCCTGTATGATACAAAGAAACCTGTTGACCTCCGCTGGGCGTGTTCTCATAGCCCATTCCTAGCAAAATGATGTCCGCGGTCGTCGCAATGACCAGTAAATGGGTAATCGCAGGCAAGAAAACTCCCGGGCGCGGTTTGGTCAGCTTGACAGCATTGATGCTGTTCGGCTGTTCCTCGAATCCCACCAATTGCGGGTTGGGGTGTGTGAAATCCCAAATGTACAATGCATTGTCAATAGCGACCCACGCGTGGTTTAACTCGGCAAACAGACCCATGCTGGTCGATACTTGTGCGCGGTTATATTGATCGAAGATCTGGTCGGGGATATCGTACATTTTGACTTTTTGAAATGGTGCCCATGATTGAGATACGGGGATGTTGTACTCAGACGAGGAGCCCTCTTGTTTTTTTGGTCAGTCTTGCTTCGGGCACACTTGGTTGGGGAACCCTTACGAGATAGATAGCTGTCAAGGTCTGGATAACGCGATTCGCTTTGCAAGCTGCTATTGATCGTTCGCGCCCCGCGTTCCTCGGTGCTCACTGTTTGATTTTTGGTCTTCGAGGCCGCTGGGGGAGCTTTGGCATGGGCGTCTGGGGTTCTGTCTGCAATGGCGACTTGCTGGCCAGAGGCCGTGCTGTAGCTGGCGCCGGGGTCTGAAAGTAAGCTCCAGGAAGGGGTTTCTGCGGCGTCGCCGGAGGGAGATTTGTTGGAAGAGTCGGATACGACATGGCGGCGGTTTTAAGGAGGGAGAAAGGGACGATCCCCCGCTAGAAATCACAAAGAAGCTGCAGTGTAGGTCGGGCGAGAAAAAGAAAGTAAAAGATATGTGGGGGAATGACGATGGGAGAAGGTCTTGGGAGGAGATTGGATTATTCAAGGTCTTTGCGAAAAGAGAGAGTCAACACCTGGGAGCGCACAGACCAATTGGGATCTTCCGCCTTCACGGTATTGATTGTTGATTGTCCCCCAATTCCATTGATCCCTCAATTGAGCTTATTTCTTATTGTCTAAACTGTCAATCAAAATGTTTCAATCCGTCCGTTTTTCTTCACGCCTCCCAGCTCGTCTGGTACGGTGGAATTCCACCGGTCCGGTCCTGCCACCCTTGATGGCTACTTTGCGGACTGATCTGAAAACTGCCATGAGAGCCAAAGACACCACAAGGTAGAGAGATCCTTTCCACTTATGTTTTGGGGGTTTAGAAAACTTATTGTCAGACTGAATGTACTTCGTGCTTTGATCTCCGAGACCAACAACGCTGCCAAAACCGCCTCGCCGATTCAGACAGACATCCAGCTCTTGTCGCTTATCCGCAAACGCCTGAATGCCTCCAAAGATGCGGCAAAGGAGTTTGATGCCGCTGAGCGTCCAGATCTGAAGGAGAAAGAGGATGCACAGGTTGTGGTATTGGAGGAATATGCTAGTCAGGTCAAGACCCTCCCCATCGCCGAGATCAAGGAAGTTGTCATCAATCAGATCGCTGCCATGATCAATGACAATACGAAGCCCAACCAAGGAACCGTCCTCAAAGCTCTCTTTGCTGCAGGAGGCCCTCTAGATGGCAAGCCAGTGGACCGGAAAGAAGTTGCTACCGAGGTGAAGAACGCGCTCTCTTGAGCTTACATTTTACAAAATTGTATATTAGTGTCACAATAGCCTCAGTCAAGGGCATTCAAATCTCATTAATAATTCACAGAAAGAATGAATTCCCAACTCCTATTCAACGCCAGCCCGAAAAGTTCATGAGCAGAAGAAAGCTACTCCTCCAAGAGATGTCATCAGAACACCCAACCACCACCATCGGTCTGGGTTGATCAGCTGCTCTCTAGCGATCAGCTGCAACCCTGACTTTGATGATAGTTCTCGCTTTCGCGTGTGCCCTGTTGGTGTGGGGTTCAATGTCGTGGTGGGAAGCATCTTTGGTGGCTGGTAGGCGAGAAACAGGGGATGGACAAGTGAGCCATCAGCCCTAGTCAAGTCGAGGCGTTTAATGCGATTGAACTTGTCGGTATATACGGAGAATTCCTGTGTGCTGTCAGAATGCGCCGGCGGAGAGAAAACGACAGATAGACGTACCTTGAACTCCTCGGTGGTATTGAACCGTGTGTACTGGCCTGTCTCCTTCCGGCAGGGGTCGGAGAGTAGCTGACGACCATCGACGGCAATTGGCGTCAGAATTAGTGTTCCGTTTCCGAACACAGTATAAGCCCCGTGTTGCCATTGCAGGATCCCTCCTGGGCATGATGGGTCAGTGGCTGGTCAATATTAGTACAATGTCGGGATGTATATATCCATGAGTACTGACGATTTGAGATTGCGCGGTAGTATGCCGACTCATAATTCCCTTCATCATCAAATGAGTATGAAATGCCCGTTAGATTCGGCTCGAGTAACTTGTCGTTAAGCGGATCGTAAAATCCCTATGCGCGTTAGTTTCGTCATTTGTATACTGCATAGAGTAGTTCCACATACTGGACCAGTAAGAACATCACGAGATTTGGTAGTCCATGTTCCAAACAAATCATTCGCGTTCGCCAAAGCGGCTGTGATTAACAGACTCCAAATCAACAACATCTTGGTTGACAAAAGGAAAAATCAACAGAAAGGGAGTATTTGAAGGACGCCCTTTATTGGGTGGAGACCAACAACATAGTTCAGCAAGGCCCTGGAATGGAAGGGTTGATGGGGATATTAGGACCAACCAACTTACTAATAAGAAGTTTATATATAAATCTGAATATCTCAATCTTCCATAAGCCCCAAATTCAATATTATCTACAGTTCTTATTTTCATTTTCTATAGAAAATCTCACTACAGCCAACCACCTCTGATTCCTATGTATTTTAAATTACTCGTCAAGGTGTTAAAATGTTTTGAAAATTACAAAGCAAACCAAAGGTCTTGTAGTGTAGTGGTAAGCACACTGGTTTTTGAAATGATTTGATTTCAAAAAATCGTTTGAAAATTACCAGTGACCCCGGTTCGAACCCGGGCAGGACCTTTCATTTATTTTTTTGACTTTTTTTTACCGTCCATTTTTTTCCGGTTCTATTTTGGAACAGTAACTTAACCTACTTCCCCGCGGATGACTCTAAGCTGGTATTATTATCTACAACTATCATAGCAAAATGGCGTTTCAGGTCGCAAAGCGTGACCTTCGCAAGAGGATGCGCTCAACTCTACAGAGTCTTTCTGCAACCTCAATAAGTCAACAATGTCAGAATTGAATGATGGTCTCTGGGTTTTCTATAACTGACTTACCCCAGCCAGCGCGGCAACAACCAAGTTCTTGTCACTGCCCGAGTACCAAAACGCCAAAAGTATCGCCGTATACTTGTCGATGCCAAGTGGGGAACTCTCAACAACTGGAATCGTAAAGGATGCTCTACAGCGTGGGAAGAATGTCTATATCCCGTATATTCACACCCAGGACAAAGCATCCATTATGGACATGTTCGCGCTCGGATCCATGTCCGAGTTCGAGTCATTACAGCTGGACAAATGGGGAATCCCATCACTCCTATCTACGCAAATCGACGGTCGACCGAATGGATTGATACAGGGCTTGGATCTTATTGTCATGCCGGGCATGGCCTTTGACCGTGGGTTCCGACGACTTGGTCATGGCAAAGGGTATTATGATCATTTTTTAACGCGATACTCAACATCGACCCACAAAATGCCATTCCTCGGTAAGTAGTCCCAGAAACAATCCGTTTATCCCCGACTGAACTCCATGGTAGTTGCCCTTTCTCTCCAAGAACAGTTGCTCGCCGAGGATATTCCTGTGGTGGAGCACGACTGGTTGGTAGACGCGATCGTGGTTGGTGATGGTCAATTCTTGGATCGCAGGGTGTAGCGCAAATCGAAACAGAAAAGGAATAGCGAAAATTCAAACAGCCTGAATCAGAGAGACATTGTCTCCCTTGAGGAGGATCTGGCCTGTGGCGCATTAGTTAGCGGTGTTGTTCATGTGTCTTGTCTTTCCATTTCAATTTCATCGTACCGAGCGGCCTGCGCTTCTCTTCCTCTGTCTTAGTTGCCAGGCGTACTTCAACAGCATCATCAATGACCAGGTTCATGAATTCATCAAAGCCCTAGCACAGGTTAGCTCAGATGACAACCAAAACGGAATCGCCGTAAGGAAATACATACACGGATCTTCCCCTCTATCCGGAAAGCGAGCTGCTCATAGAGCCAGACTGAAACAGTGCTGCGTTTCTGCAGGAGACTGAAAATGAAGTGAATCGGAGCCAACAATGTCTTGCGGCCAGCCATGATGTGCGGTTATGTTGAAAGTGATAGCTGTCACACGGGAGACGAGGCGAAGAAAGCTCTGGCGGGCCTGGCAGTCGTCCCGTGATTTGATTACCGTAATACGGTTATCTTGTCACAGACACCCCATCCCACCTTCAACTTGCTTTCCCCCTCTTCGAACCCGTTTCCGCAGTCAGATGCTGATACATTTTTGATACACTGCTGAGCCTTGATTAATATACCTAGTTCAACATGGCCAGCAAGGAAGCCGGGCAGGCATTCGCCCCGGTCCTGGCGGCCGTCGCGACAATGCAAGGAAATGCGTCTAGGACTGAGAAGACTCAGGCCCATGAATTCCTTGAGAAGTTCCAGAAATCGGTACGACTCTTTCGCTTAGAATTGACTGGTATTGTTTCGCTAATCTTCAATCCAACAGATTGAGGCGTGGACAACAACCCATGCTTTATTGCAGTCCCCCGATGTGCCAGTCGAAGCCAAACTATTCGCCGCGACTACACTAAAAGGAAAAGTAAGGGTATTCTTCCCTGATGATTTTCCCCGTTTCTAATTGCGCAGATTATATTCGATCTCGATCAACTCCCTCCCGACTCAGTATTGGCCCTACGAGACTCAGTCCTAAACCTATTGGTTGCATTTGCGCCGGGCCCGCGCCCCATTCAGACCCAGCTATGTGTTTGCTTGGCCAGTTTGGCGATTCAGATGGTCACATGGAAGGACGTGCTGGCGACTGTCGGAGCAGCCCTAGGAAACAGCGCGGGGGATTGTGTGCTGGAGTTCCTGAAGATCTTGCCGGAGGAAGTCACCGAGGGTCGCAAAATCAACCTCAGTGTATGTTCTGTATTGGCGTCTACAAAAGGTTCAAGCTGACATTTACAAAAAGGAAGACGAATTGTTCATGAGAACCAAGGAGCTGTTGGAAGACAACGCGGAGCAGGTCATGCAGTTGATGATCCAATACGCTCAGTCGTCGCGTACGTATCTAATGACTATGTCCCATTCTCTTAACAAATTAGGATTCAAAATTGACTGTCGACAGCTGCCGCCGCAACCAACCCCCGTCTCCTCGACTGCGTTACTTCGTGGTTACGTGAAATCCCCGCCGCCAAGGTCATTGAGTCGCCCCTCATGGACATCATTTTCAAAGCATTGGACAACGACACATCTTTTGACGCCGGTGTCGACTGCGTTTGCACGCTTTACCGCGACACAAAGGACGTGGACGAATCGTTGCCCGTCATTCAAGCTCTTTATCCGCGATTGATGGCACTTCGCCCAAAAATTGCCGAAACTGCCGAGGCCGAAGATTTGGAGGCTTTCAAGGGTATCACAAGAATGTTTGCGGAGGCAGGTGAAGCATGGGTTGTCCTTGTTGCACGTCTCCCGGGTGAGTTCCAGGGACTCGTTGAGGCACTTCTCGAATGTTGCGCACGGGACTGGGAGCGCGACGCAGTGTCTCTGACTTTCATTTTCTGGTACGAGCTGAAGCAATATATCACTCTCGACCGGTACAACGACGCTCGAGTCGCTTTCCAGCCCGTCTTTGCCCAGTTGGTGGACATCATGGTGAAACACCTTGAGTTTCCCAGTCCGGAAGACGGCGAGGCCGAGGATCTGTTTTCTGGAGACCGCGAGCAGGAGGAAAAATTCCGTCAATTCCGCCATGCAATGGGCGATGTTCTTAAGGATTGCTGTGCCGTTGTGGGGGTGAATGATTGTCTTGGTAAGATCTACCAACTGATCCAGCAATGGGTTGCCAAGTATGCATCGCAGTCAAGCAACGAGCACGTTCCTCATTGGCAGGAACTGGAGGCCCCTCTGTTCGGTCTCCGCGCGATGGGCCGCATGGTCGACCCTGAGGAAAGCACTATTCTTGGACAATTGATTCCTCTGATCGTTCAGATTCCTGATCAGGAGAAAGTGCGATTCCAGGCAATCATGGCCCTGGCACGCTACACCGAGTGGACAGCTCTCCATCCCGAAACTTTGGAAGCCCAGCTCAACTATGTGATTTCTGGTTTCCACCATTCCTCCCAAGAAGTTGTGCAGGCCTCCGCTCTTGCCTTCAAATTTTTGGGAACAGACTGCCAGAAGTTGCTTGGTGGTCATATCGCCCAGCTCCATACCTTCTTCGAGTCGGTCCTTGACAAGCTGAAGCCCACCAGCCAGGAGGAAGTCACTGAAGGTGTTGCCGCGGTGGTTTCAGTGCAACCCCATGAGAAGATCTACGATTCATACAAGATGTTCTGCGACCCGATCATGGCCCGGATTATGAACCTTGCCAATAATGCGCAGACTGAAGAAGGCCAGCGAGCCGTGGCCGATCATCTACAGCTGATTACTATCTTTGTGCAGGTGGTGACTCCGATCCTTGCACCGGGAGAAGAAAACCCTGCCGTTAAATACTGTGGCGAGGTTCTACCCATTATGACCACCATTGTCATGAACTTTACGTCTTCTACGCCTATTCTCGAGCGAGTGTGCCGATGCTGGCGATACATGATCATCTCTTACCGCACGAGCATGATTCCTCTTTTGCCGACTCTGGCTCAGAGTATCGCGAACGGATTCCAGGCCTCACGCGAGGGTTGCTTCCTGTGGGCTACGGATGCGGTGGTGCGCGAGTTCTCCGATGGTGCTGAGTACGTTGACCAGGCTACCAGTGATGCCGTTTTCCAGTTCTATGAGCAGCAAGCCCTTGCTTTCCTGCGGATCTTGAACGACCTCCCCCCACAAAATCTGCCAGATGTGATTGAAGACTTCTTCCGTCTTTCCTCTAACGCCGTTCGATACTACCCCAAGAAGTATATCACTTCGTCCCTTGCCGTTCCCATCTTCTCCGCCGCACTCAGTGCTCTCACTCTTCAACAACTCGACCCTCTCATCGCTACGCTGCATTATTACCGGGATTTGTTCGGATTTGCATTTGACAAGCCTATGGTCTCCCAGTTCACCAGTCCGGAAGGCCAGCCTTACGTTACCCCGCCTGAGGTTCGCGAGGCCGTTAAGGCCTTGATTATCTCGCAGGGCCAGCCTTTGGCACAGCGTGTGTTGACGGGCATGATGTTCACTTTCCCAGGTGACTGCTTCGCTGATGCGTCGGGGGTATTGATGACGATGTTCGAACTTCTTCCCCAGGAAACTGGGGCATGGCTGCAGGCCACACTTCAGATGTTGCCTAGTGGCACGATGAAGCACGGCGAAGCCGAGCGACTGCTGAAAAATGTCTCTGACAAAGTCCAGTCAGGAGAGACCCGCAAAATCCGTGTTCTCCTCCAAGGTTAGTCCCCGTCTCCTTGTGTTTTTTTTTGGCTTTTTGTCTCATCTAACCTCGCCCAGACTTTACCAACTCGTATCGCCGCCGCAATGTAGCCCCACGTGATGGCCTTGGCCGTCTGGAGGCCGCCCGATTCCGATTCAGCGGATGAGAATGTCACTGTAGATTTTTCGGTGCTGATCAGCACTAAAAAAAAACGAACCCCCGGAAGCATTTACACAACATCTGGCGTCAGTTCCTTGCTATTAGCGTGCCATGTGGTACGATACATGATGGGATGGCATGAACTCGGTGTGATGATTAATGACCTGCTGGTACGCCGGCCTGACCAGAACCTCTGGCTTTGACATTGCTACCATTCAGGTGTTGTACGAGGTCAACCTGTATCTAGGTATTCAATAGTCGCGACTCATTTCTGCATTGAGATGCAGCGCACTTTCTGTGTGTGGTCATTTGATTACGAGTAATGAATCTATTGAGCATCAGCACTCTCGTGGGATATATATATATACCTGGTTAGACGTAGGGATATATAGTAGAATAGACCTATATATTCTTACAATACTATACTCTACTATGCTCTACTATAGCATATACTACTTTGGGATATACTACGCGGACAGGCCAATAAAGTCATCTCCGCCACAACCCCACCGAGATCTCCGCACTTCCCCCGGACAACTCTCTCCAAGTCCCCTATGAGCTTCATTCTTTGACTCATTTCTACTCTCTATTGGACCCTAGTTTCGTGCTCAGACATTCTTTCCCGATCCACTCTCTCGGTGATCATCGTGCCATGGCATGAAAAATGGAGATCGACGGTCAACCCTCTAAGAGACGGCGACGCAGTCGCAAAGTTCTCTCCGATCGCAAGTTTGAATGCACCTTCGAAGGCTGTGGGAAGAGCTATTCTCGCGCCGAACACCTGAGCCGACATGCACTCAACCATACCCCGAAACAAATTTATCGCTGCGACTTCCCCAACTGTTACCGGTCCTTCGTACGACAAGACCTCTGCACGCGCCATCGTGAACGTCACACCACCAGCGGTTCCCAACTCCAGAAACGAGATCATTTCACCGAGAATGACACGAAAAATTCCCCGCCTTCCTCGCCTGCTATCACCGCGTCCGAATACTTTGTTGGCTCGGAGGAGCGTAAATCTTCGGTGACAACATATCCCCTCACCACCGGAGTGGATAGCAATGAGATACCAGTGGACCAATACACGGACTTTCCGGCGGTGCTGGACCAGCCTGATAATCTCATCGACCTCGACTCCATGTCCTACCCAATCTTTGGCGGGGAAACCTATAACCGATCACCATTCGCCATGGCAGATGATTTTGCAGCGTGGCTATTCAGCGAGCCACTCGCGCCGATGGGCTATGGAATGGTCCCACTTGTTCAAAATCAGTTCTACATGAATGAGCCTGCATATAGCGACAACAATTTCTGCCCGGTGATTCCACAGCATCCGATGAGCGTGACGAGTATTCTAGACTCGGGGGCACCTCCGGCTGTCATCTCAGAAGCCAAGCGTCAGGAGCTGTTGCACTTGATGTCGACGAGATTCAATGAAGCGGCGTATGCGGCGGGCGCTAAACGCAAAGATGCGCTGATGGACGGGGATTTAAATAATGACCGACATGCTTTGAGCTTGCGCATGATGCAGACGTACATTGGATCCTATTGGTACCACTTCCATGCACAACTTCCAATGTTG